TTACGGTTCCCTGTGAAAATTGAAATGCAAAATCGGTAAACGACACCAAAAATGAAACGCGACTTTCATGCAAATTTGATCATCCACGGGGAAAAGGATCAAAAAATAAAATTACCTTTTTCAAAGTGGGTTTCCTTTTTAAAAATATTGTAAATGCATAGATTTTGAAACACTGCAACCGAGATGCGTATTTTTGAAATTTATAGTTGATATTTGATTTTTCGATGGTGAACAAATCAACATTATTTGTGGACATTTTCACAAAATATTCTTCGCGTGGCCAGCACAAAAACCATTTTTAAAAAAATGAAATTTTCAAGGGACAATGTTGACAATTTTCCCCTGAAAAAACAAAGTATGGCATGAAGTCTGCGATGTCACATACGGAAATACATGTTTTGGGATTTTACCGTCAATTTATTTGTAAGGAGGCGGTCAAAAACCACGCGGAAACTGCCCTTTACCAAGGCGACAAAACAAAGTGACAATGAGATGGAAATCACGAGTAAACATCTTACCGCAACAAACAGTTCGCCCGTCTCGTAGGTCAAGAGGTCCATATCCTTTTTTTCTGATGCTTCAAATTTATCCAACAGGATATCTAAGAAGAGCTTCGTACCAGCCTCATAACTTACGCCAGAAGTTTGCCTCAGCTCAGCGCGATGCTCCATCTTCTTCTCCAGGACCTTTCGGGCGAGGAAGAATTGTACATTTTTAAACAAAACTTGAGTTGAGACTTAACGGACCGAACTACGTAAGTATGAACTTACTTTTTTGGCTCGTCTCAGAAATAATGTCCGTGTGTTACATTTCCGTACGTAAAAATGAGTTGTTATAAATGCGTCATAAAAAGTATTTCCCTTTTTTTTGGCGAAAAAAGTCCATTTCAAACAACTTGCAATAAGTCCGTTTCTGAATGATTTCGCACACTCTATATTCATGCACCACTTCCCTTCTCCTGAATTAAAAAGAGCTGAAACTTCGTATTTTTGTAATTTTGAGTGAAAAAGTCAAACATAGGTTTTCTTTCTCTTTCCCCTAGTAAAAATTGGCAGTAGAATCTGTGTTCCAAAATACCATAGACCTACAGCCGACTGTAAGATTTCCAATGGCTGCTATAGCCGGCAATACAATTTCTTATAGCCTTTTATAGCCGATGGCGATTGAGCAACAGTCTGACGATAAAGTGTATGCTAAACGTTACTAATTACGGATGCTAGGACTTGGTGAGTTTTTGGACTACCGCTCTCTTTTTGGGCCGTAGTATCTTGATTTATTTTGCGAGGAAAGCTCCGTACTTTTGAGGAATGCCTGCCATTCCAAATATGTTGGAGCGCCTTCAGTTTCGTACGTTACTGTGCAATACCTCTGGTGTGAAATGGTTGCTTCAAGCGCCGTGGTATGCTGCGGCGCGGCGCGGCGGGCGGGCAGCCAGTGCGCCGCCGCTCCGCTTTGTGTTAGGCGCTAATATTTAATCTCGTGGAGTCAGCGTTGTTCAACTCATGACTTTGAAATGTTTGCACACTCTGTATGGATTATTCTCATTTTAATTGATGAAAACAAATATGTAGTAAAGGAAAATATAATGTGCGTTTTGTAAATATTATGGTGATTCCGTACAAACTTAAGGATTTACAAAGCACACGAATTTCTACACAATTTCTTATAGCCTTTTATGGCCGATGGCGAAAAAGCAACAGCCAGGAGATAAAGTGTAAAGCCCGGCGACAGGAACTATAGCCCGGCTGTTTAATTTTTTATCGCTTCGTGTAGCCCAGCCGTATGCTTTCTTCCACTTTCTACAGCCAGCTATATGATTTTCTATCGCCTTCTTCAGGCGGCTATAAGAACTCCTATGGTATTTTGAAACGCAGCTCCTTTCGCCAATTTTTACCAGGGTTTCTCCCTCTCTGTATTCCAACACTATATTTTTGAAACACTACTCAATGTTATGTAATAAAGTTACATACAGTAACAATGTATAGTTTGGGTATTTCTATTAACTTACAACGCTTTGCACCCCCCCCCCCNATATCCATCCAACCACTCTACTATAGAATAAAATTGTACTTCCCGCTTTTTTGTAATGGATATGGGACTTACTAGTTCTGTTAGGTTAGGTTCTTGCATCTAACTTTTCACTAAATGCGCCGTAATATATATTTAGTTGAGTAAATGAATATCTCAATTTGTTCAAAACCCGCACTCACGAGCCTTGTCCTCCAAGCTCCTCCCTTTAAAAATGTATTTATGTATGGTTTTTAGGACAAAAATTACCTCTCGAACCAATGCGAACAATACATTTGCATACGACTGGTATTCTTTTTTCTTTCCAGTCAACGAGTAGATTATTTCAGGTTGGTAGACCGGGATCACAACACGCTCAATAAAGAGATCTGGTATTCTGTGAATGAAAAAACAATGAATCAGTATTTCCAAAATAAATGTAGTGACTTAAAATACGTAATAATACATTATAATAATTGAACAGCTAGTGGACATCCTGAGGGTTTACTTAAAAATTACATATAATACCTTGAGGTGGTTCATAATTTTGTTGTGGTGTTTAAGTAAGACACGAGACCCAAATCGTCTTAAGGTTCCCATAAAACATTTTGACGGTGAAACTGCGAGAGCGCGTAATTCGTTTGCGGTGTCTTAAGATGTCTGCTCTCATTTTATTTTATCAAAGGAAGAGGGACTAATACTCCTTAAAATTTTCACAGAATATTCTCCACAGAAAAACAACAGAAAATTCTGAGAATTTTCCAAGGATGACTGTGAGTATTTTTTCATTTAAAGAATTTCGTATGACTGGCAGTCCGCACCGCAGTGCTTGTGCAGTTTAGCCATCGATTTGTCCTACGATGGCGTCGTAAAAAGTCACGAGCAAAGATCTGAAGAAAAGACGGAATCACTTTGCAACAATTCAAATTGCCGCTCGCATATCCATGATATATTGCTGAATATAAGTATTCTTATAAGAATACTTTCCCACCAAAGTGCGTACAAAAATGAAAACTCTCTTAAAATTTAGGTGAAAGCTGATTTTTGTTCGGGTACTAAAACTATGAGTTATTAAGTTTTTTGTGTTTGTAAACACGTAGTGAGAGGCTCCCTAAAAGATCTCCTAGAAGATTTGTCTTACATAAAAAAAGAAAAATTGCATCAGTACTCAAGTACCTACCGTAAAAGTGCTTGCACGTATTTTGCATTGTCTCTAGCTTGCATGTCGATTGAGATTCCCATGAAAGTATCTGCAAAGGAAGAAAAAGAAGCATCAATGACGTGGTGTAGAATGTTTACTACCAGAGCGATTTGTATTAAATAACGTCAATTGTTGCGCAACTATTGTCTCCGCTCAACTTATTCTTCTACCAATACTGCCGTGCTGAGGAAAAACGCCGTATGAACCTTCAGGCGTTACCAAATTTCCTTTGATAAAATACAAATTTATTGGAATAGTTTGAAATATTTTTCTCCCAATTTTTCAAACAGCTTTATTCACAGTTCAATTTAAAATATTCGAAAAATTCAAGAAAAATATTTATATATAGCTTTACTCGGAAATAAATGTTTTATCCGGGGGCATTTGGCAACTCTTGAATATTCATTCGGTGTTCTTCCTCAGCACGGCAGAATGAGATTGTTGTCATGCACTTACTGTTATAACTTACTTAGTCAGTAGAATTTTAACCCCAGCTACAAACGATCACCTGGGTGCACTGTATTAAGATCATTTTGTTACCAACATGCATGGTATACCAAGTTGGTTAGTGAAACACGGTACTATGTTGACGCCAACATGGTGCCAACTTGGTCTCAACATTGTCCCATGTTGGTGCCGAGTTGGCATCGCAGTGGCCCCTGTTGCTCACTTTAACTTGGTTATTACCACGCTGAAAACGTAAATCAATTTGCCAAAGAGGCCGCACAAAAATAATTCAAATTAAGAGAGTAATTATTTTCACACTTTTTTCATCTTCCCGCAAAGCATATGTGATGCTTGAATCCACCGGTTATTTAAATGCAATTGTTTACAAGAATAAAACCAATTTTTAATACTTGTCGCTAATCAGTCGAATAAATCTCTTGCATCTGTTCATAGTTTTTTTTTTTTTTTGGCTGATAAAATTGATGCGAAAAATGCATTAAGTTGCATGTTTGGACTTTTTTTTGAACTGTTCTTATTCGTCAACTATTAAAGAGCTAAATGCAACTCCATAAAACAGTAATAAAGCGTCAGATTCTGAGGGACGATGAGTAACATTTTTACGAGTCTTTTTAAAGCAGTTATTAGAGATTGTTTACGATAGTTTTTGCTAATTGGGCTTCTAAAAGTGTTTTAACACTTGTCTAGCAAATTTTTATGTGAAGCCTATTAATTGGAATTGAACGCAATCGGGAATTTTTTTAAGTTTCGCGTTATGCGCGAAAAATTAAAATCTGCATAAAAAATATACGTGCACTGAAACTTGCGCCGGTAAAATTGACCGATAAACTTGTACTTTCCGCCTCGCTCATATGAGGTACAGCTGCATTCTCATTAATTGGAATCGGGCTGCGGAGCAATAACAAACATATCTCATTTTCAGCAGTCCTAAGTACTTCCCCTTCACTCGCCCAAACGTAATAATGGACCTCTAGACATGGTACGAAGTCAAGCATTCTGATATATCGACGGTGGTTAAGTTTCTTAACCAAAATTTTACGTAAAACACAATTTGCGCAACGAAAATTACTGATATTAACTCTGAACCAATTTGTTTAATGTTTCTTGACGCGTGAATTCAAACCTCCCATTCATGAAAACTCAATGGTCTTACGTGAGTCAAATCGCACACTAAAAATTAACATGACACTCTCTGCGATATGAAAATCTAAAAACCTCAATCTTGACGCTTAGGCTCAGCTGCAGCAAGTTGTTTATAGTTTGAACAACACATCAGGGTGGGAAATGAACAGTGCTGGATTGAGAAGCCTGCCAAAACCGCTGTGGGGCGCGATTAGACTCACGTAGGGTAGAGTATTGAGTTTCGTCTGATCGGGCAATTCTAATTTCCTGTGACCAATGTAAAATAAAAACGTTGATATCCTGGATAGAAAATGATTTCGGTAATTTTCAATGCAAGAATCATGTTCTACGTGAAATTCTGGTTACGAAACATGTGTCAGAATCCTTAAATTCGCACCTTGTCTAGTGGTTCATTATTTGGGCTCACCCAAAGTACACTGAAAAAAATTCTCGGCGTTTTTACCAAGGTCCGTTGGTACCTTTACCATCTCACTTTTT